TTTGTGAATATATATTTTCACAGTCTCTTTTCAGACAGCGTGAGCTTGGAGGTGGTAAGTTTTCCAGCTTGTCCTTTGCGTGGGATCCTGGAAGGAAAGCCAGACTGGGTAGAGAGCCCTGGGCAGGGTGGGACAGCTGAGCTCAGGTTAGGGAAAGTGTCTGTACAGACCACTGCGGAATATTTTAGTGACTTATAAAACCCAAGTGTTGATTTGAAATCAACCATGTATTTGAGGAACAACGTGTGAAACATATTTCTGTACTTGCAATACTCTTAAGTGTGGAGGATGGTAAAGTGTGTTAATGAATAGGAGAGAAGATTATATAAAAATAACAAGGGCAAGGGGATCAGCAATGTGTTCACTGATGTAATTCACTGGTGTCCTCTAACTAGAGATGCCAGCATTAGAAAGGTGCTGTTTGCTCCCTGTAAAGACAGCTCCAAGAAGCCTTGGAGTATTTTTTGCAGTGATTGTATCAGTGTCTTGGAATTAATGTGCAATTTCGCACCAAACACACTAGAAGAAGAAAAAAATTCTGCAGTAATTGCTAAGCATCTACTTAATGCTGTTGAACTAGTCAGGCATCTCATGTGTGTATGATAATTCCTTCCAGGTCAGGTTTTGGTAATTCATAAAGTGCTGTAATAGCTGAAAGCTTGGAGCATGGCATGAACTCTGAAACAAAGAACTTTGTAGGGTTTTTTTTCTCTGTACTACTTTGTAATGCAGTCTTTAGGATACGCTCTGTCAGCTTGAACTGGATGGAGCTGAAAACAAGGAATTTTGAAGGTTTTTTTTCTAATGGAGTGGTAAATGCTCTACACTAGCAACATGTGTATCATTTGGAGCATGCAGAAGCATGGAGTGTTCTGCTGGGAGGCTGGGGGTAACTGCTTCTAATGCCATCATGTGTGAGACAAACATTTCTGTGTGGGCAGCCTTTGAAATTGTTGGGCAGATGTGGAAGAGCAGCTATCCAGGCACTGAAAGGTGCAACATCCACTTAGGACAGCAAACCCAAGACCTCATGTAGTTGCTTCACTGCCCTGGAGCACAGTGGGTGCTCAAGGTGGGATGCCCTGCTCCAGGCATGGCTGTTGAGGTGCATGTGGATTCCAGGGCTGCATCAGCAGTGGTTGTGATGAGACAAGGAAGGGGTTGAATCCTGCTCTCAGAGATTTGGGATCTACTTGTAGACCTTCACCAGTGACAGAGACCTGGGTCTGGCTGTGAAGTATTTGAGGAGGGTGTATGGCACTGGGAATGTCTACTTGTGTAAGCAGCACTCCTGGTGAGTGCCACCTTGCAAAGAGGGAGGGGACAAAAAGTGGTTTTCTCCCATTGGAGTCAGGGATATGGTGTGATAGTAATGATTTGAAATCTAGACATACCACTGCAAGTTTTTCCCTGAATAAAATGTTTCCTGATATGCATTTGATCCATTTCTAATATTACCTGATCTCAAAAATAATCTAAAATACTCTAAAATAATAAAAAAACCAACCCTGAGAAGTAGAGAATAAATTTGAATTTTAAGTCCTAATTACATTTAACATTCTGGGGTGAAAACAAGAAACACTGTCAGAATTTACTTAAAATATGCCAACAGCAACATTACAGAATCAATTTTGTTTATGCTCTTGATTCATTCATGCAATTAATGAAAGATGAATTAATACAAAGTTGTGAATTCATCTTGTCCTTGTTGGTATGTCCCCTATGTGTTTTTGTCATTTTAAGCCTTAGCTTGTTATTTGTGCTGGAGAAAACACCTGTGTAAATGGGAAAACTCACACCCATCTGTCTAAGGCAGGGCTGTGCCACCCTCTGGACAGGTTATTTGGGTGGCATAAAAGGCAGGAGGTGATTTGTGAGAGGAAAACTTTGTGTTTGGGGTCTGTGAACTGATGAGCACAACCAGAGTCTCCTTCCAGCTTGGGTATCCTGACACTGGTGCCTGGCTGGAGTGAAAACTCTGTGCATCTCCAGCTGGGAAGGACAGCATTTCTTTGGTGCTGCTGTTAAATTCTGCATCATCACAGACTTCAAAGTGACTTCTGTGGGGTTTTTTTCCAAGAACTAAACATTTTCACCCTATTACCAGTGGAGTCAGTGTGGGGCATTTTGTGCCTGAGATTTAGTGCTTTGCTCTCCTTCTTCCATCACCCTCCAGCTGCAATTGTGCCTTTCCAAGTTCCACATGCCCAGGTCTCCTCACTTGTACTTTGCAATATTTGACCCTGTTTTGCCCAGGGATGTGGTGCTTGGTTGCCTGGTGCAGAGGGTGTGCATCAGTCTGGTGGCAGGCTGCAGACCTGTCCTTTGGTCCTGGTGTCACTGTTTGACTGGTTCCTCTGACTCCTGCATCACCTGTTGCTCTGGAGAGCTTTGAGAACAAACTGTGGAAATGTACTCCCTCGTGGTTTATGGACTATCCTCTTAGAAACAATCAGGCAAGGGTAGTTGTTTGTATGTGCTTTGATGGGAGGTGGGAATCCTGCTTGGCCTTTCTCTGTGGAGCCCTCCCAAATGTTAGGGAGGAACTGCAAAAAGGGGAAAGGGGTGTCCCCCAGGGCAGGGTGTTGCAGGGACTGTGATGGAGAGTCTGCAAAGCTGAGCTCCAGGCCAGGCTTTCCTCCAGCTGTCCCACCTCACAACTGTGCTTTGGATTCAGATTCAGAAATACCAATGGAAATATTATGAAATGGCATGAGAACAGCAAATGCAGCTGATTTGAGAGATGTGTTTTACTACTTCAGTGTTTCAGTCACTCACTGAACTATAGGTCTGATATAAATCAGAAAATGTTCCATGTAGGCATGACTTCAGATATGAGATAACTGCATTGCTGTTGCCAGAAATAAATTTGCCTAAGCCTGTGTCTTCCCCACAGGGGGCTGTTATCACATGGTTCCATTCTATTTTTCTGGCCTTATCTCTTAATTAACTAATCTCTAATAATGCTCTTTCTTTTTTTTTTTTTTTTTTTTTAAAGTTTTTTTTTTTTTTTTTTTTTTTTTTTTTTTTAATAAGCATTTGCGATCCATCCCCTTTTTCCATTTATTATGCTAAGAACAGCATTGGCTTCTTTCACAAAACAAGCAAGGTGGGTGTAAATCAGGAACTGTTTTGCTGGGATTCTTTTATATCAGCCTTGAAAATCTTCCTAGCCCATCAGGTAGGAGGTCTGTGGTGCCTGTGAGCCCGATATAGCATTCCCATGCTCTTTGCTAAGCTGCACACTTGCATTTGTGTGGTATTACCAAATGCCCAAGCCCATGTAATGCATGGAGGCTAATCTTGTCAATTGTATTAAGGCTACTTAGGAATTAATAGCTTTAAGGAAGCTGTTTATATTTCCTCCTTTAAAGCACTTTAGTCAATGTTCTGTGTCCCTTCAAATAAATGTCATTGGTAAAATAATGCACTTTTTGTCATTCTCTTAAAAATGGTATTTCTGAAGAGTTGATACTTCAAGGCCTTGGGCTGACTCTGAGATCTGGGTACTTGAATTTAAGCTGCTAATCCATATGGAGGTACCTAAAAAGAAGTGGCCTGGTTTGCATGAATTAAGTTCACATCCTTCTGAAGTTTATTAGTTTGAAAATCAGGGCACGGCTCTGGAAGTCGTCGGATTGCTGCAGGGAGATTTGACTTTGTGAGCTTTAGACTTTAAAATAAGAACAATGTGTTCTTTTGAATGTCTATTGCAAGTTAGATTTAAACAGAGGGAGAAAAAGAGGTTATAAACCCAGCTGATTGTCCAAGACCCTGAGGATGCCAGTGGTTTCACTGGTTCAGCATGACCAGAACATCACATTCATGGCTGTGAAGATGTTTTAATTCCTATGTACTACAGGAAGATGCTATTAGAATAGCACAGCAAATTCTGTTTCTAGTAAGAGGCAGGTGCTTTGGGGGTCTGCTTGCACATCTCCTGAGCTTAGCTGGGCACATGAAAAGAGGAATGTTTGCTTTCTCTCAGAGCATTATATAGAGACGGGGAAAACCTTCCCATGTATAGGAACACATAAAACAGATCCAAAAATGAATTCGGAAGAAATAAGTCAGCAGTAATGCAAATTAAAGAAATCTGTATTAAATTGTATATATTTAAATATTTTCTTTAAAGATATCTTTACTTGCAATAACATTTTAATACCTAAATTTACATTTGCAGTCAGCAGAAATATCTTTATCTAGAACAGCATTTGCAGTATCACAAGTAAGTATGTGTAAGATTGGACGAGTGATATATTACATGTGATATTGTACAAAGCACTCATATTACAATCTTGTGGTAATCATAAGATGTCACAAAGATCTTCATCAACCAGGAGGCTTTATTTTAGACAGCATTAGCCCATATACTCTTTGTTCCCTGGTTCCAGTACTGTTCTTCATAAACCTGTCTCAGATGGTCTCTTTACCTGACTGATACCATTGCTCTGGGAACTGGCTTCTCCAGTGTGGCATTGAAAGAATGGTTTGAAAATATGTTATGTTGCTTTAGCAATAATCTGATAAAAAACAGAGACCACAAAAAATTGGAGAGTCCTGTCTAGTGTCCTAAGCCAGATTTCTAGGGCAGCAATAAATCTAGATCTCTCTGAAAAATCAGTCTTGTCAAATAATGGGTATAGATCACAGCTTGCTGAAGCCTCCCGAGGAAAGACTGTGATTAATCCTTGTAACACAGCTCCTATCCACATGTGACTCCTCTGAAAACTCTTCTCTGGTACATGTGGCCACATCGTGTGCCATCCACAATCCTGTTCTTCTCTAATGGGGCAGCTGGCCCCAGTGGTGGCCTGCTGAGCAGGGAGGAGCTGCTCTGGCTCGTGCAGTTCTGTCCCTCAGCAGAGCAAGAGACGATAGGCTGTGGTGAGTAGCAAGTTGGCCTTTTGTCAGTGCCCTTGTCCTAGTCTAATGCACAGAAGAGGAGAGTGACTTTTTAATTAATTATTGTAACTAAATTAATGACCGTAACTAAAGTTGAAAGCTTTGACCAGCTTTGAGAAAGTGAAAGGACACCACAGACACCTGTCAAAATCAAACCTTGAGTGCAGGTGGCTTGAAACACCCTGGGCACTGAGATGGAAACTACAGCATGAGGTACGGACAGATCCCTGCTTGTCCTGCCTTGAACTGATCTGTCCATCCTAGAAGGAATTGGGACAGAAGCCGGAGGAGCTGAGTGCTGCTGGGGCAAGTGCACAAGTGACTAAGAATGGAAACCAGTGGGCTGTGCAGTGGTGACACAGCTGCAAACACGTCCCCTTTGAGGGGCGGCCACCAGCCAGGGAGAAGGGACCCACTGAGAAACCTCTCCCAGGGACACTGGAGAAGTAGAGGGTTTGCACAGCCAGGGTAAAAGTCAGTGTGGTGCCTGGCTTGCAGGGAGGAACTGAGGTGTCTGCAATCGTTGGTGCAGGGGGCTGGGGCTTGTTCTCTCAGGTTTCTTTCCCTTTAATTGAAATTATCTGGCAAAATAAATTCAAGATGAGGCTCTGTTCCCTTATTAGAGGCTGCATGCCACAGCAAACTCTTTTCGTGTTTTATTTCAACTTGAGAACAACATCCTCCAGCTATGACATTATGGAGAGATGCAGCATATGCAAAATGTGCCTTCCCTGAAAAGGGAATTTAAAAGATATAATGAGGAGCACCCTATCAATGATAAAGTAAAATTTGTACATTGGGCTTTGCTTGAAACCTAGTTTTCCCTGGCCTGGAAGGGTGAGGCTTGATGTATTTGTGGATGAATGGTATCCACTTTCTAGGCCCCTAGAAATACTTAAAGTGTGAGTTCTAAGTGGGTTGGATTTGGGTTTGCCTTTTTCTTGCCTTAAAAATAGTTGGGCTTGAATATTCTGTAGCAAGTTATGAGATGACATACTCTGTAAAATATCCAGAGTAGCCATAACTGGCACATGCTCATAGCCTGGATTTCACCCACTAAAAGATGAATTTTCTATGCTTCTGCAAAGAATTTAAATACAAGGTGAAGCATTAGTCTACACACATACATTCAAGATACAAGCCTGCAAAAAACCCTGAGAAATAAACCCCTTCAATCTTACCTGAATGTTGTTTTTATGATGCTTGGATGCTTCATTAAATTACAATTTTTGCTTAGTACATAAATTCTCAGCATAAGTTTGCATCTTGTTCTATGTACATCTTAAGAATACAGCAGAAAATACCATTGCTTAGCACATTAACAAAAATCACATATGAGAGGTTTGTCAAAATACCTGTATACTAAGTTATATACAATTCTGGAAATCCTTCCTTCTTTGAATTCTATCATGTTACTCTCCAGAAACCCAATCTATTTGTCCTTAAAAGCTGAAGTACAGAAAGTATGCTGATGAAACAACTTGAGCAAAAAATATTAACTTTTCAAATTCCACTTTTAATTTCAAAATAGGATGGAATGGATAGCCATGTGATGCCAGCAATCTTTTTTTTAAAATTTTTTTTTCCTTAAACTAATTGTCTCTGATAAGGGAACACGTCAATATTGCAAGTCCTAGTTGGGGTCATATTCCCAAAAGGATATGGATATGGTGTACTCACATTGTGGATAAGTGTTTTATCCCAGGGTGCACTGTGTTGTATGTTCCCATGTACAAAAGTGAACATGCGTAGAAATGTGTGTTCTGGTGGTTGATACATAGCTTTTACAACGTAGATACATTCACAATTCTCAGTTTGTGTTGCTTTTCTCTGAGACAAAGTCCACCTGGATGAGCAGCTCAGCTGACTGTTGTGATGGCTGGCGTCTTCCCACCTTCCTCTCCTTCGGCCCCTTCGGCTCCTGCTTCCACCTGGTTGAACTTACCCAGCTTTTTCAAGTTCTCCAGCGCAGATTTGAAAGTGTCCTTCAGGCTGTTCTCCAGGACCCACCCTTCGCTTTCGCATTCGGGGTCTTCGGGGTTGGCGATGCTTTCCAGGGAGGTGTGCAGGAGGCGCAAGCCAACCATCACCGACATCTGTGCCAGGCAACGGGAAAGGCAGAGAGCGTCAGCCAGCCCTGGACACTCCTGTCCCCCTCCCTGTCCCTGCTGGGGCAGCCTGGGCTGCTGCTCTGGGGGGCCGCGTGCCCGAGGGGCCCCTCCTCGAGCCTGTCAGTGTCGGTGCCTTCCCGGGAAGCTTTAATGCATCCCTGGCTGCCCTGTGCTGCATGTCCACAAGGCAGTTTGGCTGTGCAACACCGTCCTTGGCCACCACCCACTTCGTTTTAGCTAAATATTTTGACTTTGCATTGACCTTAATATGTTTGGTGAGTATATTAAGCTGATCAAGGAGATATTAATGAATCAGGGTCTCTGCAGAATGGAGCAGAGTTAGGATTTGAGCCATTAGTTTGTCTGCTTCAGATTCCGATTTTGTTTTAATATAGGTATGTGCAAATAAGGAAACCAAGGCAGCAGGTGATCTCTCCTGGGTTCCACCTAAAACAAATTTTATATTTCTGATTAAATATTACCTAGTCCCAGCAGTCCTGACTGAGATTTTTTCTACTGTACTGTGTAACGCTGTTGACACTGACAACACCCTGCACCTGCCTCCAGAGAGAAAGTGGGTTTTAGCCAGTCTCCTGCCTTCTAACACTGTTCAGAACAATCTGACCTCACCCTTGTGGTGCTTGTGAAGAAAGTGATTGATGAGTGAAGCAGAGAAGGACAGAAGAGCAGCTCCCAGAAGAGGCAGCCTGGTGACATGGTAGAGCTGGTGGTTGGGATGAGGCAGCAGTAAGATTGGTTTGGTCCTTCACGTGCTGGGTAAAGCTCAGTTGGAGAACTCCTACTGCTGTCTGGACCTCACAGGATTTGTTCTCTAAGGGAAGTAGGATGCCTCTGTCACACTATCCAGTTTCCCAAGGAACTGATTACCTTTGGTCCTCCTTAAGCCTGATGGCTAAAGAGGCTGGCAGGTTTGAGGATGGGATTCAGCCACATGGCAAGGCCAGTGGCAGAATTCACATCTGGCTTTTGGACTCGAGGCACTACCCAAGCATGAGCTTCCATGGGCCATCCATCAGCCTGTCAGCTGTGGTCATCCTACTTGTGTATGATCAGTGTCTCCAAACTCGTGGAAGACTAAAGCTACACTTGTCTACTATCAACATTTGAAGATGTTCATATTTCTCTGCCTTCACTCAAGATCAGAACAGGAAAAACATTGGTCCAACAAACAAGTTTCACCAAATACTTCCATATCCAAAGGCAAATGTTCATACTGCTTAACACAGGAATGTATGACTAGCCACACTTTGGTCACTAAGGAGGCTTCTAGTGTCTCTGAGTCTGGAAATAGTCTCATCTAGCCAATAATATGATGACTTAAATCAGTTAAAGCACTATTCTATAAAAGTCACAACAAGTGACAAATCCCATCATGTTAGATTTAAAGCCTTTGACATCTTCCTTCTACTCTGAGTCCCAGTTTTGCTGCTCTCACTCATGGGGCTGATATCTTTGAAATCAATGGCTGTTGCAAGTGCAGATAAACAGGGCTGGATGCAGGAAATGGCCTCCACATTGCTTTCTACTTGTGCTACCTCTGGTGCACGTCACCAGGGGCTTTGTTTTGTGATTGACTTGCCAAGTGCCCCTGTTTGACAGCCAAAGTAGGTGGACTGGCTTCCTGGATAGCTCTAAGTCTATTATAATGCTTTTAAAAAGGAAGGTGCTTGTGCAGCACTAAGCATCTGACCCATCATTGTAAGAGATTTTGTGACATTTTCTCTTAGTTTAAGACTTTTTTCTCTTAAAAACCTTTATAAGCAAAATTTTGAGTCCCTGAAGCTGAGATTCCTTAAAAGCAATGCAAAATGTCTGTCTCCTTGTCACCTCCACTGCTCTGCACCTGCCTTCTGTGGCAGATGAGAAGAGAGCCCAGGAAGTTTGAGACAAGTATCTGGTAAATTAGTCTATCTCCTGTATGATCACAGAGAGTCTGGGACCACCAGTTTAGCTGAAATCTTGCACCAGGGAAGCATAATCCCGTGCACGTGCTGGGGGTGGCTGGCTGGCAGCAGCTTGGCAGCAAAGGGCCTTGGGGCTCTGGGTGACACCAAGCTGTCCCTGAGCCAACAATGAGCCCTTGTGGCAAAGTGGGAAAACGATATCCTTGGCTGCATTAGAGGAATAATTGCCAGCAGGTTGAGGCATGTGATCCTTCTTCCCCTCTGCTCAGCCCTGGGGAGGCCACAGCTAAACCTCCAGCCTTAACCAGGCTGTGAGTTGTAGATTTGAGCTTAACCACAATCCAGCACAGAAGGCTGTGCTGTCAGAGCCCCAGAGCGAGGCCAGTCTTGCTGAGAGATGATTTCCCTGTCATGGGAGCTCTTGTCATTTTACAGCAACTTTAAAGTGCCAGGAAGAATACAGGCACAGTGTTTCTGCAGGGCTGTGGCTGCAGGGCTGGGCTGGTGGATCCCCTGCACGTTCAGCCTCTCCAGCTGGGCCAGCAGTGCCAACTGTGCCTGTCTGGAGGGTCCCTGCTGCCTGTGGGCTGGTTTTGGAGATCACCAGGAGTTCACCCCTACTGTTAATGCCTCAGAGAGTTTACTCTCCAGCACAGGACATGCAATGTGCCTCCTGTGAATGTCCCAGTGCTCTCCTGGAGCTCAGCCTGGCTCCGGGCTGTGGCACATGGGAGGTGAATCCCAGGGTCTCGGCTATCGTGGCAGCTGTGACCTATCGAGATCCACATGTTTGCACAAGTGAAGGACCTGGAGCAGCTTAGGAACCAGCCTCAGCTCTCTATTCCTTTTGAAATGATTTATTCAGGGCACCCTTGAACCCCTCTTTTCCTTTTTGCTGTCTGAGGCAGGTCAAGGAGACATCCAGGCATGCTCTTCTTGACCTTCTGCAGAGAAGCCCATCTGTTTGCCAGGGTTTAGCCTGAGGCGGCTTAGCCAGAGCAGGGTGTGATCTTTTTTTGTCATCCTCATGACTGGTTGTCACACATGGGAAGTCTACAGCTTTTGTTAGGAAAAGAAGCTTCTAGATATTAGCATTCTTTTCAAATAGAAGTTTTGATGTTTCAAAATAGGTTCATTCTTCCTTGTGCCTAATGTAGAAAAGTGAAACGGAGATGGCCTTCCCTGGGGTCCCTGTGCCTGTTTGGCGTGTTAGCTTTCTCTACAGCTCAGAATAACAGCTGTGATTAGTATTTCCTCTCCATGTCCTTCCCACATCTCAATTCCAGCAACCCAGCTGGAAGAGTCTTCCACAGCCCCCAGAAAGGCTTTGTTGGAGAAGCACCTGGTTTGAGTCCATGGTGGCTGCAGGTGTCAAGCAACCCAGGATTTTGCTTTTTCACTTTTCTGTCCCTTCCCAGGAAGCCAAAGTGGAAATGAGAAGCACAGAGCCAGCACAACCACTGCCCCTGGGCTCACCCTGCTCAGACCCACACTTACCTTGGCCAGGAGCTGGAACCTCTGCTGCCCTCCTGCTCAGCATAAAATTGTTTCCTACCCTGACTGGAATTTACAGGAAGTTGTTATATTTCAAGGGAGACTAAATTAATGCCTATTTCCTTCCTTCAAAGTTTGCCTTAAAACCAAAGGGAATTTCAGACCCAAATCTGGTCCCTTTATGGTAGAATATCATTCAAGTAATAAATATTCAGGAGGGCAAGTTATTGTAACCCAGGATCATGTTGTTTCTTTCAAGTTTTGCCCTAAATGTTCTCTGATTGCCTGAAAAAAAGCCTTACCTTCTATTTTGAAAAAGACAAAGAAAAGAAGATCTTATTTCTCATTATGCCACAGGCTGAAAAAAATACCCTTCATTTGAAAATACCCTTCATTTGAAGAGTTAGACATAAAATACTGCATTTTTATTACTGCTATTAATGTTAACATATCACTGTCATTAATCTCTTGCAAGTTAGCAGAAGTATGTTACAGGTTCCTAGTCATGATTTTTTGAAGCTGGCATTGGTATTTTTGTGCATTTTTCCCCTGAGTTTTTCAATTTCTTTGACTTTCTAATACAGTTGAAATTCCCCTCTCTTCAGAGCTCTGCACTTGAATCTGGGTTAAAATAAAGACCTTCTCTTTTTTTTCTTGCCAGAATAACAGTGCAAAGAGGTAATACATTTCTCTGCAGTTCGGAGCAGTTATTTTTAAAACAATGCAACATGGAGTAACTTCATGATTTTTTTTTCAGTTCACAGATTTAGGTAGGTGTTTATTTTCTAAAAAGCATCTTCATTCCTGGAAGGCTGTAGGCCAGTGCTTGTATCAAAATGTAACTCATCTTTTTAAAATTTGCATCGATCTAAATTTTTTAAAAGGCAGCTGAATCATTTAAATTAGGCAATGCCATTTGCAGCAGCCATTCCAAGGATAGGAAAGGATCTGCTGCACCCCAGGGAGCTGCACCCTTCCTTTTACCAGCAGGTCCTGCCTGATCTCCACATCCAGCACCTCACGTTCCAGCCCTCGTGCCACTGCCAGCCCACGCTCCCTGAGCATTAGTGCTGGTTAAACACCCTGGCTAGAAAACTGGCCTTCTCCCAGGGGCTGGGGATTCATTGCATTGCATGAACAGTATTTTATCAGCCAAGCTGCACTTTGGGTTATGGTGCCCACAGACACCTGCCCCGGGCAGTGCCCTGTTTGCATTTGTGTCGTGGTTTTGGGAAGCAGAATAAAATTAATTTAATCCACTTGCCCCACCTAAACCACTTTTTCTGACCAAATGTCTTGAAATTGTTCCACTGTGTGTGACTTAAAGCCTTATTTTGTTTGGGGTGTAAAACCTTTAACTGCATTTTCTGTCCCACTAATTACTGTCACATCTTTCTGATGTGCTGCTTTTTTGTATTTCTCGTTCCCCACAAATGGTGACACGCGTAAAATTAATGCATCTGGACAGCAGAGCCCTTGCACTCTCTTCCCTGCTCAGCACGTTGCCTTTGAGAGAAAATCCCTCCCTTTTCCCCCTCTTGCTGTGGGATTCTCGAGGCTCTGTGCCCTGCTAAGAGGTGTCTGTGATCCCACACCCCTCCACCTCTGTTTCCAACCCGGGACCTTTCCGCCTTTCCTCAGCTATCAGATATTTTCTCAGCCTAACGGTGAGGAAATTGAATTTAAACAGATTTGCTTTTCACTCAGAAGCCCAGGCTCCTGCAGAGCTGGCCCGTCAGTGCAGCGTGTCTGGGGGCAGGGGTTACCTCGAAGAGCCAGACGAGGAGGATGACGGCGCCCATGGAGCTCATCATGCCGCTGTAGTAGTTGAGCAGTGCTTCCCGGCAGCCGCGGCGCCACAGGTTGAGCTCCTCGGTTTGGTAGTCGTAGCTGTAGTGGGCAGAGTTGTTGGTGACCTGGTACTGGATGCAGGGCCTGGGGGAGCTGGGGTTGCAGCAGCTGAAGGGGACGCCGTCCACCAGGTACCTCCCGTCCACGTTGCTTTTGATCCGGCTGCAGGCAAGGGCAGAAGGGATGTGAATACACACACAGACAGACAGACACACACACACAGACATACAGACACACACACAGATATCCACGAGCAAATCTGCACAAAGAAGGAAATCAAGGGCAAAGAGGGTTTTCCACCATGCCTTTTCTCTGTGTCCCCTTGTTCGCATAGCGGTGTTGGTCCAGGGTGTCCTTTCTCTCTGAAATCCTTTTCTATGTCAAGGCTACACTGGTGTAATTTCTTTCCTTCTGGTGTCATTTCTTCAAAGAAATTGATTTTTAACAAAAGTGAATGGCTGAGAGAATTCAGGAGGGGCAGTCAGAAAAGAGTGATCGCAGCATAGTTAGGACTGGAAGAGAGGTGCTGGAGCTGACCTAAACTTGGAAAAAAACTCAGAACAGCCTTGGAACCCACTATACCCATTGATCCAGCAAACTTAATAGCTTCTTTTTGATGATAATATCTACAGGGAGGGGTTGTGTATTTATTCTTGGCTTGGGAAGGCAGCCAGTATTGAAAACATGAAATGTGTTTCAGCAACAGGATGTTGCAAAATTTCCAAAGTTCTTGCAGGAGCTCCCCAACTATTGTTCATCTGACACTGTGGTTGTTCTCTGTAAACAGTCATTTAGCCTGGTGTCTTAGGAGATGTTTAGATGCAAGATAACTTAGAAGGCAAATAGTTCCACTGACTCTGCAAAAATCTATAATAAAAGGACTGCAGTTTTAAAACAAGCCATTTTGCTTAGAAAATCACAAAATGGGGAGTCCCAGTGGTGCAGAGAGCAAAAAAAAAAAAAAAAAAAAAAAAAAAAAATAAAAAAAAAAAAAAAAAAAAAAAAAAAAAAAAAAAAAAAAAAAATCTGAGCATCCCTTTTAGCTTTCTATATGGATATTTTAAAATTGTTTCATAGAGAGAGGTGGTTCCAACAACCTGGTGAAGGGAAATTCAACTTTGCAATCATGACCTAAATATAAACAGCAAACACAGCTGGGGTTTTCTCCCTAAATGTAAAGAGTGCTCTGGATTGGGTCTAATTCCCATTCATGTGTAAATGCTCCACCAGTTTCAGAGAGATTGGATATTGGATCAGGCCTTCGCTCTACAAATAATATAAAAATCCCACTGTGGGGGACAGATTCCCTCCTTCCTTGGAACTAAGAAGAACTTTACTATTGGCTTCAAAGGGGCCAGACTATCCTACCAGGAATGGGAGCAGAGATTGTGGGAATGGGAGCAGAGATTGTGCACCACCACATAGTACAAGCCTTGAATTCACTAAAATCCATTTGTAGATTTTTGATGCCCTAGTTCCTGCCTCAGTAGTACAAAGAAATTACCCTGAGTCTCAGTCTCAAACAAGGCATCAGTTATTAAGGACAGTATAACCCTGTTTTCCCTCTGTCCCTTGCCCTTCCACTGCTGCTGGATTAAGCTACAGCTCTCAAATCTCCATATAATGCTGGCAAGGTTTTTTCAAGTAGTTATTTATATCCATGTGCATACCTTTGCAATGGAAACACCCCCTTATTCAATGGTGAATGTATTTGTTATAACATCCTGCCATGCTATGGGTTAAATCTGTAACAGTTTTCACTAAAAAAGTCCTCATTCAGAACTGCAAAAATAACCAGACCACCCAACAAGTCAAAAGAACATGCAGAGAGACACACACAAGTGAAATACCATTTACAAAGTCAGGCAGGGATCCCAAGAGATCCCAAGAGATACACAAAGCTTTTTTTTAAAATTACTTCAGACGTTTTTAATACAGGCAGTATATTTAAAAGGCAGATTGCTTCCAGTTTACAGGACCCATTATGCAACCACAGAGCATAAACATTAATGAATTATGTTCCCAAGGAACCCAGAATAACCATTTCTTTTCCCAGCGCTTAATTTTTAAAAGGTTGTGGATATTTATGCCTAATACTACTTTTTTAATTTCAAAAGTTCATTTTGTTCTCATGTTTATTTTCTGCTTGAGCTTACTGCACCTAACCTGATTTTAGGATTACTGCCTCTTTGGGTACTGACATCAAAGCCATTAAGGTGTTTCTGGTCAACAACCTGATCTGGTTTGTACAGAAACAATAAACTAGTGCTGCTTTCATGTGAGGTTTTAAAAAATCAGGCACAGGACAGAACTTAAAATACATATGGCTACAAGGGCCACTGTCTAAAGCTAGGAACACCAATTGATGCTCAATATTATTGCAGCGCTGAAGCAATCCATTGAGTGAATATAAAAATAAAATCCTAAATCTTAAAGATCTGAAAGACGTGAATTATTGGTAAAGTGGTTTTGCCTCTATTTTTTTCCATGCAGCTGATTAGCTGCCAATACATAAGTGGAGTTTTAAAAGTGGTATCAACAGTATATCTCCAGGGAATTATTTTTTTAGGAAATTAATAAATTACATTGACATCTGCTTATGGATTAGTAAAGTTCTGATACTTTCCTGTTTATTTTGGGAGTGTGGCTTAAGGTAATGGGTTTATAAAGCAGTAAAAGACAGTAAAAACTATTTAGCCTGTTTATATCACGCTGGGTGAGAGTGGGAATTGTATTTTGGTGCTTTTTATTTTATGTTATGGATGACTTTGGAGGAATTTGTCAGGGGAGGAAGCAATCCAGCTGGTCATTTGGGATGCTTTATTACACAAGACCCCATTTTACACAGACCCCCTTCCAGTCAGCGCCTGTTGGCACTTGAGGACAGCACTGATCAAACATCGACACTACGTGGTACAAACCCCACCAGGTCACTTACTCTTTCACTTCTTTGGAGCTGAAGTCCAGATATCTGTTGCTGATCCACTGGATTTCGAACCAATCTTTGTAGCCGTTGTTGCCACAGCACTTGAACTCAATCTGGAGCATGTCGATGGTCTTCTTCATGAAGCATCTTCCGGGGGTGTCCGTGTCCCGGTAGAACTTCATGCCGTTCTTGAGCCCCTGGGCCAGGGTGCTCTCCAGGGAGCCCCTCATGAGAAAGCAAATCAGAGCCACGAAGAAAATGAGCATGTTAAAGACGCAGCATAGTGCCAGGTATGGTTTCAGCAAAGGCTTCCACTTGGCAAATTTAGCGGGATCCAGAGAATCGTAACAAATTTTTCCAGCAAAACCATTGAAGGCGCAGGATAATATACCCATCAATATCAAAGAATTGGGCACAAAATGGCTTTCAGAATTGTCCATCACTTCGCTTCGCTTCCGGAGCTCAATTTTGAGGAACAATCCCATGCTAAAAACAAGGATTCCAGCGAACACCGAAAACCAGTTCATGAGCCATAGTCCCTGTGCTAGTTTTACCCGTTTCTTCTGATTGAATTTGACTTTCAGAAGTGCCATCTTTGTAGTGGGAGATGTTGGAAGATTTCACAGCCTGGACCCCTCTTGTCAGCGTAAGCAACTGGAGGCAGAACCATTCAGGCGTTGGAAGAGATCCCAAAGAGCACGTTGGGAAGCAAGCTGCTGCACAGTCCTTCCATCTTGAAGACCCCGGGTTAGGATTCAAGTAAGTAAAATATTCAAAGGTCCCAATTAACAATGTCACATTAGTGAGAATAATGGGCAATTAGCACCTACAACTATTTCTGGTGGTTTCTTCCAAGCAAAGGAGAAACACTCTCAAGGTTTCAAATGATTTGATCTGGATCTGCAAGACGTCATTCTAATACCTTTAATCATTTGATCCAATTTGGAGAAATGTCTGTCAACAGATGAGTGGAAGTAATCCCTCATTTTACTATTTAGTAGATTTGTGCTCTCCTATGATAGGCTGCTGGATGGAATATGAAACCCCAGAGATATAAAAAGTTCTTTGTTGCCAGAAGAATATGGAACCTGTGAGGGAAAAGGAAGAGGGCTTTTAAAAAAAGATTTAAAAAGGCTGCTTGTATACAAACATACACTTCCCCACTATGATCCCAATATATTTGTATCTACAGCCAGACCTACATTCTAGTCCTTATCCTTCTGTGTTGACTTGAGATGATATCCCGTGGCTTATGTATTCTGAAATCAGATAAGCGTGTAGTTTATGGTGACCTAAAACAACTAAGCTTGGCATTTTCTGTTTACTTCCAGGGCTTGTACAACTCTGGGTCTTGGCAGGAGAGCGGGAGAAAGGAAAAGTGCAGAGAAACTCAATAAATAAACCCTGGGCTGAAATCTAGAGGTGCTTTTATAAAAAGTGAGCTGGCATGAGCAGCTTACTGGATAATCGCCGGGCTAGGGCGGGGAGCAGGGCTGCCCAAGGAGACCCACCCGGGAGCTTACATCAGGGAGGAATTCAACTCAGCAGCTGGAGAGGGACCTTGGAGATGTATCTGAGTGCAAGGGAGGCGTCCCGGGGGTCCTCTGGCTCTGCCGAAGGACCTCAGCTGGCTCTGCTTTCAGGCTGGGCAGAGGGGAGGACACGTCCCCTCCTGCGGCTGCCGCCTCCTCCTTGGGGCACTCAGCGGTGCCAGGCAAGCGAAAATGTTCCTGCAGGAGTGGGAGGGCGTGGGTGCTAATGCTGCAGGGGAGAAAGGAGCAACCCCAGAAGAGGGACTGGGAGGATTTTCTCTTCCCTGTCAACCAGACCTGCTGCTGCCACCACCCAAGTCCCTGGGAGCATCCTCTAGTGGCTGCCCGCAGCATGGCCACCAGTCCCCGGGGACAGAGAGGGGAGGGGATGTGCTAGGAGGAAGGCAAGTGTGAAAAATAATAACAGAAATAATTTAAAAGCCCAAGCACTGAAAAATAACGTTTTGATGGTCTGCAGCTCTGTGGTACCATGGATGCTTCTCATTTACCATTTGAGATCCTGGAATGCTGAAGGCTCCTTCAGGAAGGACAAAAGCTGGCAACTCACTGCTTCTTCCTGTCCTGATAGAAGGTTTTTGTGGTGGACCTTTTTTAGCACATCCTGGTGCTACTGCACTGAGCTGGAGGGCAGCTGGTAACTGGGTTTTTTTCTAAAGCAAGCCTGGTGGTTTGCATTGCTGCTGCCCTTGCTGGCAAAGAGTGAGTGTGTAAGATGAGAGGGAAGGTGATTATCCATCAGGGACTATTCTCTCCTCTTGCTTGTGAAGTGCACGAGAAATGCTGTTTCTTGAGAGAACCAATTCATAGTTTTGTGCAATAAGTAATGGCTCTGAAAGAACATCTCTCCTGGCAAAATATCTCACAACCAGTGTAGCACATGTTGTATTTCACTGACTCTTTCATGTCTCAGCTAAGAGACTTGAGTTTGGAAAATGTATTTATCTGGCAGCCTGGAGTGAAATTTTAGATAAAGGAACTTGAAACCATTTCCTTTCTTGTCAGTGATGACAGTGGAACTGTAATTAGAGTGGAAAATAATTCTGTACCAGTCTGCAGGTCATGAGGATATACAATGAAATACTTCCTGCCCACAGCAGATGTAAGCCTGGTGCTGCTCTGGATATGGGTAATTTCGTATTCAGGAGTACAGAAGAATCTGAATATTTGTCATCTTAATAATTTAACATTTAGATACCCATGATAAATCTGATGCAGCAAAATCATGTAAGTGTATACACTACGGTGTTTCCACTAATTCAGGAATCAAAGTATTGAAGTAGAGCACACGGGACATGCTTCAGAGCTCACTGATCCCTCCGGATTTACTCTTCTGCCTATAACAAAGGAAACGGGAGGGGTCCTCATAAATCACTGCTAAATTGCTAGCTTTAGCTGGGAGATGATCAGTAAAAATCCCGGACCTGATGTTCAGGAAGGGACACTCACCTACTAATTACACCCTTGAGAATTCGGGTGGTACCTTTAAAGTCATTACGGAGAGCAATCAGCACCACCAAAAGAAGCCGGGTTAGGAAAAGCCTGATTATTTAAGTAGTTTTTCAACAGCTCAATACCAGCTGGGGACTTCAAGTGGCAAAAACTACCCCACCCATTAACCTGACTCGCCGCGCTTGGGGGTTTTAAAGGGGATTGGTTAACACTTTTTAAAGTGGGAATGAATAATACTTTTTAAAGTGGGAATGGATGCTTCCCCATTATCCCGGACACGGAGCAGACAAATCCCGTGCAAGCATCGGCACAAACTGGGCAGCCAAGACCTGCCTCTGGCAGAGCAGCCTGCGGGAGAGGAAGGCGATGCGGGATCATCCAGAAGCGTTTTGGGGTTTAAAAAAAGAAAGCTCTTTTTGCCTGGCATCTGCTTTTCTTAAAAAAGTTTTTTCTTGGCTGCGATTCGTCTTTAGTTTGGCACTTACTACCACTTCAAAGAGAAAATGCTGAAAATTGATCCATAGCAGATGAAAGCTAATTGCTGCAAGAATGTTTGAGTTAATGGTCTCCTCAGAGGTTGTCTGTTAAATTCAACTGTATAATTCATATGCTGATATTGGGAGAAAAAAAATGGTAGAATAAAATATTCAAATTTTTATTGATGTCACGAATCTGTTTAACTTCAAAACCTAGTTAAAAATTATAATGTGTATGCATAACAATACAATATTGATACCTTTCCAAAATTTATGCTAACCTACATATAAGGTACAAACTTATCAGTTAAGAGAGAGGAATGTAAACTATTTAATCTGGTATTTTAAACAGTCTGCTGCTCAGCCCTGGACCAATCTTAATTTTTCTATCTTCAGGGGTGTAAGATATAAAATACATAAATGCCTAAACTATGGAAGTACCCTGGTAAAAAGAATAATTTCCTGGCTCAATCGTTCTTTCACACTGCTCTGTGCTATCAAATGTGTGCCTTTCTGAAACTCTTTTTCACCCCCTTTCCTTTCCCTAGGAGTGGTTATATTTCACTGCAAGAATAATGATGTCTAGTTTTACCTTTGATGGGAAGCTATTGTGTAGAGAGGTTTGCTCACGTACCCTCACTTATGGTTTTGCTTTCAATTGTAACTCTGCGGTGTGAACAGGGACGCTCCTGAGGAGCAATGTGATAATGCTGTACCTCACTGTATGATTATCAGGTGGAGAAAAGGCTGATTTATGGCTTTTTTTTAACCTCCTTACACAGGAGGTAACTTGGTAGGCTACTATTGTTGTGGCATGTGAGGTGACTGCAGGTTCTGAGGCTGGAAACAGGCAAGTTCTAAATTCACTGCTGGGATTGTTGGAAATCCTGGGAAGGGTGATTTGATCTGCTGTACTCTGTGGCTCCTGCACTTTGCTGGGGTACACTGTGGGGGTTTTGGTGTGGTACTGCTCTGGGTAGAATTTGAGAATTTCAGCCATCATTCATGCAGTGGTGTGTAACATGTTCAGAAAACACAGCTTTTTTTTTTGACCTCCAAGATGGTCATTATGAGTATTTGTTTGTATTATTGTGATGCCTGGGATGTAGCATTCACTGATTATAAAATAAGAATTAGAAATCAAAGTTTATATTTGCAGAACCAGGAAAGAAATATGTTGGGAATTAAAAGAAGCTTACAAAAAGCTCATTATAGTCATTACTGCTGGAAAACATCTCAGCACAACAGGTGGATCCCCCAGTCAGTCATATAAATCAGATCATGACATGAATGGAAATGCTGAAATTTCCCCAACTTGCATAGATTTTTTTTCTTGCTATTCGTGTCTTTCCTTGTATGTGATGAAACTGGCTGTTTAGTAAACCTGAAGCAATTCCAGGTAAAACCATGGAGATTTGAACTTTGTCAACATACAGCTATTGCATAAACAAGAAAGTTTGAAAAAAACAATCCAAGCCTTGAAAAATATAATGCATAAAATTATGTAGAAAATTGTCTTATGCGTGTATTTCTTACCTTTTTTTTTTTTTTTCACAAAACAATTCTACCACAGCTCATGTTAAAGTCTATTTAAATGAAAGAGAGCTGGCTGAAGAGAGAATGTAAATAACTCTATTTCTGTTCCTGATAGTCAGAGAAGCAGGGGCAGACAGAGGGAAATGCCTGGACTCAAAAGGGAACCGAGGAAGGGTTGATCCCTCTCAGGACAGATCTCTGGGTGAGGGGATGGCCCCATGGAAGCAGCAGCAAAGCTCCTGGCTGCTTCTCTGGATGCAAATTTTGGTCTGTGCCACCCCTCAGTGCCTCGACAAATGGCAAAGCTCAAAGCTCGGTGGCCTGAAAAGTGGCCTCAGTTTTCTCCCATGGCTTCAATGCTGTGTGTCTTTGCATAAAATTGTTTTATTTCCTCCACAGACACACACAGGAGCTTTACAATGCTGAGTAACAGCCCTGTGGGGGACTAAGGAATTTTCACTGGCCTTAAAGATTTTGGTGAGGCCACTGGCTGGAGGAGGCCTGTCCAACTAGACTGTCTTTCAAATATGTTTGAAGCAGGACTGCTTTCCTGACTCCCCATGGAATATGGTTCTGCAA